AGCGAGGCAGCTGCGCGTGTGAACCCACAGTCAATGTGACAGCATGCACAAGACCTGTGCAAGCTCAAGCCAGATCGAATCCCATCCTGGGGAGAGGAAATGGGCACAAAGTCCCACCCCTAGCTGAAGAGGCCATGTGATATCTGTGGTCCATGTTACCACTGAAGGCCATGTTAATGTCGATAGAAGCTGCAGTGTGACACAATAAGTCACGCAGTAAACATCTTTGTTCACATATCTTTACTTGCAAGTGTTCATTGCAAAGAGTCATTGGTCAGGTTCTAGGCCTCCGGTTTCTACTACACTATTGATGCTGGGGCCCCCACTAGGACTTTTCTTAGATATCCTATTGTTGCCCTGTGTTGTGGAGATCTTGCAACTTTGGGTCTGTGGGTCAGGTTCCTTCATGTGCTCTAGCAGATCATAGATGGGATGGATGTTGGGGTGGGTTAAGTCATAACCCTGGGTCTGTGCCTGGGCAGCTGTAAGAAGGTTGATCTGCCAGATGATAAATGGGGACAGCTTTCCCATGCTTACAACTTCAGGGCTGGCTCACCCACACTTGCACTAACAGGGTTGGCTCTCCTGCTCTTATGACCACAGGGCCAGCTCTCCCAACTGCCCCAAGTGTTGATGGGTATGTGTGTGTGTAGGGGGGGAGCTCTCTCTACCACTCATGCCACCACAAGACAGAGTACTCTTAATATGGACTCCTCTGTACAGGCTTTTTCTTTTTGGCCACCAACCAGCTCCCAAATAATGACACAGAGACTTAATAGTTTTGAATGCTTGGCCTAGCTTAGGCACGTTTCTGGCTAGCTCCTTTAACTTAAATTAACCTGTTTCTCTTTATCTACCTTTTGCCTTGGGGCTCATTACCTTTCTTCTGTGTATCTTACTTTCACTGCTTCTCTATGTCTATCTGTCTGACATCTGTCTGGCTTCTTGCCCTGGGTGTGTCCCTCATTCTTTCTTCCTTCTCTCATTCTTTTTCTTCTTTTCTTGCCTAGATTTCTCCTCCTATTTATTTTCTCTGCCCGCCAGCTCCACCTATCCTTTCTCCTGCCTAGCTATTGCCCATATTCAGCCCTTTATTAGACCAACCAGGTGCCTTAGGCAGGCAAGGTGAAACAAGTGCAACACATCTTTTCATAATCAAGCAAATGCATCATAAACAAAAGTAGCACACCTTTACACAGTTAAATTTACATTCTGCAGCAAAAACAAATGTAACACGTCTTTACATAGTTACAATAATATCCTACAACACCCTTCCCTGTGAAATATCCCCAAATTGAAGGAGAAGTTAACATTCCCTAAATGCCAAAGTTAGATAATGGTTCACCCAAAGTACAAACACCCAGTAAACTAGGAATGGATGGGAACAGCCTCAATAAATGTGACACCCAAAATGTCCATAGCTAACATTACACTCAGTGGTGAAACTAACTTTCCTCTGTGGTGGAGAACAAAATGAGGATGCCTGCCCTTAGCAGTTCTGTTTAGCATAGTACTGGATGTCCAGGTAGAGCAATTAGAGGAGAAAAGAATCCACAGGAAGTCATGAAAGAAAGCCATAAAATCACTATGTTCAAAGTCTAAGGCAGGCAAAAACCCTAAGCATTCAACAAAACATAAATGACTGAACACGAGATACACAGATTCAGAAGAACATAGAGCTAACTGGCAAATTTTTGAAATAACTGATATTTACAACATTTAATGTAGAGCATTTGCCAATATTGATCACATTTTGAGCCACAGAGCAGCTTGAAAACATAAACTTCATAAAATATGTTCTTTGGCCGGGCGGTGGTGGTGCACGCCTTTAATCCCAGCACTCGGAAGGCAGAGGCAGGCGGATCTCTGTGAGTTCGAGGCCAGCCTGGTCTACAGAGTGAGTTCCAGAAAAGGCGCAAAGCTACAAAGAAACCCTGTCTTGAAAAACCAAAAAAAAAAAAAAAATGTTCTTTGAACAGAAAGCCATTTAAGAAAGAAAAACAGGGGCTGGAGAGATGGCTCAGAGGTTAAGAGTTCTTCCAAAGGTCCTGAGTTCAATTCCCAGCAACCACATGGTGGCTCACAACCATCTGTGATGAGATCTGGTGCCCTCTTCTGGCCTGCAGGGATACGTGCAGACAGAACACTGTATACATAATAAATAAATAAATCTTTAAAAAAAAAAAAAAGAAAGAAAGAAAAACAAAAGTACAAACAGGAGTTTAGAAAACCTCTGTCCTTGAAAATTAAATTCTATGCTTTGAAATAACTTGTTAGTCACAAAGGAAACTGGAATGTGTCTTCACAAGTAACAATGGTGTTCTGGAAGATTATATGGGACTGCAACTTCTTTCCAATTCCTTCCTTTGTGTTGGAACCTTCCTTTGTGTTGGAAAATAACTCCTTGTGGAACTTGCCCAGCTTGAGTGGCATATTATCCAACAGAATATGACAAAGGTGCACTTAGGATCCTCAGAGGTGCAGCTGTAAGAGGTAATGCAGCTTTCCTAGTATCTTCTGTGGTAGTCTAAATTAGAGTTGCCCCGCCCCCAATAGCTTTATAAATAATTTCTGGAGCCACCCTCCTAGATTCTTGTGACCTTGATTTACTTTTCCTGATTCAGGGTGGGGATCATATGGAATCTTAAGACCTTCCTTTTAGCCAAGTCCCAAAGCTTGATCAGGTCTGCACTGGGGTGGAGAATAATTTTAGAGCTCAGAACAAACTTTCCAACATATTTTGATCATGATAGGAATACGTTTATTTTGAGTCCCAGGAAAGATACTAACTAAGGCACAAACGAAATAAGTTTCACAACACAACTTTTGCTACATGTGATATGCTGACATTCTGTGTTCTGTTATTACCTATTCAGTTGCATGAAAGAAAAAGTGACATTGCATGATGTCACGGTCTAGTAATGGGCAGAGGCCACACGGGAACCTTGCAGGATGAGCTTCATCTCAGGGACCCTGTAACAGAGAGAATAGTGATGGCCCTCTCTCACCATGTCCACACCTGGGAGTATGCGTCAGTTATAAGAAGGCATGAGGTTAATAGCCATTTTCTAAAATATGCAGAAGAAAGCTCAAAGGAGAGGCCTTTGTTTCTGTATCTATGATATTCTACAATCATCTGGAAGGTTCCTCACAGTGACCTTTTCTAGGCAGCACAGGGCTGTCCCTCTAAGAGGAGAATCCCAAGGATGTCTTGTGAGTGCTCCCAAATGCTTTGCGTCATTCCCAGGACTTCAGTGGGCATTCTTGGAGAAGGAAGATGATGAATTGGTTCTGTGATAAAATGGGGAAAGAAAATGCTGAGTGTAGCATTTTCTCAGCATCTGATTGGGCTGTCCTGTGACAGGTAGTGGTGATGCAGGGCTACTGAATGTACCATATTTCACCACAGAGCCCTTGTGTTAATAAGCCCTGAAGTTCTGGAGAAGTCAGCTGCCGGAGATACTTTCCTAAGAGACGGCTCTCTGCTTCCTCACTAGCTGGAAGCAGACACAGGCGATGCAGTGCTTCATACCAGCATGTGCTAAGCCCGGGGCCAGGGAGGGAGGGAAGCTTACCTCTGTTAATATGATGAAAAAGTAATGGAACCTACCATCTCAAGACCCCACTAGCTTAACTGTCCTTTACAGTTGTAACTGTTCAAAAGGAGCCACAGTGGTCTATGGTATGAAGTCATTTAGACCCCCGCTGAGGCTGCCTAAACTTTGACCTGGGAGCAGAGCCACTGAATCAATGAGCGACCTGAGCTATCTCTCCAGTTCTGAATCCTTCTGTAGGGCGCCATTCACACACAATCCCTGTGTGGGCCAGGCCAGAGGACCTCTACAAATATGTTTATGTTGTAAAGCATACACTTTTAAAGATGTATTTTCATTTTAGTGTGTGTATGTGTGTGTGTACAGGTGCCAAGGAGGTTACAAATGGGAGTAGGCATTAGATCCCCTAGTGCCAGAATTACAGGCTGTTAGCTGCTCCATGTGGGTGCTGGGGCCAGCTTTAGAATTCTTAACCACAACTCTGAAAATCACTTTAAAATGTGACTTACACGGCTGGAGAAATGGCCTAGTGAATAAATGTACATACTGTTCTTTCAAAGGACCCAAGCTGGGATCCCAGCACCCAGTGCCCCAAGTTTGAGCCCTGGATCTCACACAATGGAAGAACAACAACTCAAGATGTCCTCTGCCTCCACATACAGGCTGAGGCATAGGTGCACTCTCCCTAGCAGTGAATTGAAAACATACATTCAAAAAGAATTTTCAATGCATTGCTTTTCATCCACTGACTTTTACTTTGCAGTAAGCACTGGACCTCAGTGGGCAAGAAAATCAGAACCAGACTCAAATCGAGCCACAGAGCTCCTGTGTGGTAAGTCCAAGACCCAGCTCCATCACCAGTGAGACAGCTTGGGTTTGGAAAGGTGAGCTGCCATACACTATGAAGAGTAGTTCTAAAACGTTGCGCCTAAACTATCTGATTCACTTCCAAGCTAGAGAAAGGCAAGACCCCTGAACATGGGCACCTAGCTGGAAATTGTAGTTGCTTCTAAAAATGTCTGCACCCTTATATGGGAATGAAATTAATTTACAGGACCCAGATGCATCGTTTTCTTGCCTTCTATCATATACTACATTTATATCCCAAATAATAAAAATACACCCTCCCCGGTCTCAGAGGTGATGGCTTTTAAACAGCATCTCTCTGTGACAGACACTTAACTACAAAAGGAGCAACCAAGTTCCTAGAGAAGAGAGAACAAATGAGGAACTACTAGATGTTCCTGCCGCCCCAACACGCTGAGTGAGGTGGAATCCCAGAATGCGAAAGTGAGCATAGATGAGGGAAACAAACTAAAAAGACTGATCATTGCTCTTCATACCTTGTTTTAAACACACAACAAAACGTGCTGGCCATTTCTTCACCAACTTGTAAAATTTCAAACACTCATTGTGCAGTTCTTCTTAACACCACCTCCGTCATCTTCAGATCTTCAGTTTTCTTATAGACCTGTGTCTGTCAAGTCCCAGAACTGCTTTTGTGTGATGGTGAGGGCATCGTCTTTGGGGAGCCAGCAGTATCCTCCGGATTCCTCCCTGTGTTTCCACTTCTAATCCTCCACCCCGGCTCCCCAGCCTGAGCTGTCTTGCCAGAAGCTGTTTCCAGATAGCTGTTCTGTACTTCTTGGAAATGAGATTGGAGAGGATGGGGTTGTTGAATGCGCTCAGAGAGAAAAGCTACAGAGCGACAATAGTAACGTATTGAGAGAAGCGCATCATCCGGGACTCTTCAGTGTTCATGTAAGTGATTCTGCCAATATGGAAAGGCAACTAGCAAGCTATGAACCACCGCCACTGTAAAACAAGACACAGGCACCGGACTTGGCAAACTCATTCAAATAAAATAAAGCCCCACTCGTCCCCTGCACCTGTAACAACAAAATGAGTTAGAATCTTTACTTAAACAGATCCTCATGCTAGCCACTCCCTTCCCCCGGAAAAAAAAAAATCAGGTCGTGAATTGCAATGATGTTTGCTTTCTAACTACACTAGGATCACAATTCCACACCAGAAGGGGCCCCACTCCAAACAAGTGGTTTTGGCTTCTGCTTCTGCTTCAGAAATACGTTCTGGTTTTCGCTGGAAATGATTTGCAACAGGTCTGCAGAGTTTTAGTTATTTAACTTGGTTCGCTTTAGCCTCTAGACTAACTTAAAAGAATAGACTCTTCAGCGATCAACTTCATCTTCTTCTCAAGGGAACTGGGAGTATCGCCAATTACGAACCTAACAGAGACTGAGCGAGCTCCCAGTTACCCATCCTGGATCTCAGCGACTTTGGAAAACCTTCGCTGTCTCCGGGTCGTCCCCCTCCCGCCTCCCCGGGGGCTCAACGTGACCCCCTACTTGTATTGGGAAACAAATTTACAGGTGGACATGAGCAGAGCTGCTGGGCCCAACACGGAGTTTGGAGAGGGAGCTGTATCACTTACTCAGGACAAGGACCCTTTTCCTTCGCGCCTTAGTCCGGCCTCCCCCAGCCCCCGGGGTGGGAAGGGGGGACTCGGTTTTTCCACAGCTCGCATCCAATGAGCCCTTAGAGGATGCTGAGGCACAGGAAAGGCACGAAGAAGTTGGCAGTGGTGACCCACAACATGATGCTCAGCGCCTCGAGCTGCGCGGGGCTTGGATCGCACTCACAGCTGAACAGCGCTGCAGCCTCCTTTCCGAAAGATGGCAGGGACCGCACTGGTGTCCACGAGGACCCGAGGGCCGGCGGGACCCGGATCGAGGGGTTGACCTGCGGAGAGGCCGGGGAGGACATCTTGCTGGACGCCCACCAGAAAGAAGAAGGGCCCTGCTGAGACGAATGCCACTACCCAAAGCGCGGCGATGAGCGGCTCTGGGTGACAAGGACCCGCGCTTGCAGCAGGCGGCTGATTGCCAGGTAGCACTCATCACTGAGTGCCTGTCGCGTGCAGCAGCGTGGCGTAGGTGCAGCCCTCGCCCAAGTAGAGAGACAGGCGCCAGAGAAGAGTCCCGAACACCCAGGGCCTCGAGCGCCACAGATGGCACAGGTTGAAAGGGGGCCCAAGCAGGATGAGCAGATAGGACACCGCCGTGCCGCCCAGGTACAGGTTAGTGGTGGTCCGCACGTCGCGGTAGCGCCCAATCAGCAAGCAGCACGGTCACCAAGTTGCCGCTCACACCCAGGACGAACAGGTTGAGGCACAGCGAGGTCACTGGCACCCGCGCCCCCAGGGGGAATGCCAAGCAGCAGCGGCGCTCATCACAAGACTGCTGCGCGCCCCACAGCGGTTCCCCCGCGCCCTAGGACGGTCGCTGACATTTCAGGGCATGGCTGTGGGTTGCCTAAGAGGAGACCCCACGCTCAGCAGCAGCAAATGCGCCTGGACGTCTGATGGTGCATTCATGGCCCTCACCACAACGCCGGGTCCCTGGGAGTGCAGTGAGATGCGGGGAGCCTCCGCCTCCGCACGTGGCCAGCCCCCAGCTCCAGCCTGGACACTGTCTCCCAGTCCCTAGGTTTTGCAGGCGTTCCCTCGCGACGCTGACCGCATCTCAGGAGCCCTGAATGGTCTTCTGGGGGGCTAAGCCCAGGTACTACGTCCTAAAGGTGGGAGAGGGCACCTGCTATCAGGAAGCCGCCATCCTAACTAGAAAGAGAGCAGTCCAGGCAGGCATTGGAGCCCTTTCTGGGTCTAGTATTGGTTCTGTGACAGTGCTGCTGCCTGACCTTGAAATCATATTGTCTCACATCTGGTCCCTGCACAGTCCTTACACCTCTGTAAGTTTACAAGTGAAGGTAGAGGGCGTGGTGCATCAAATTACGGATCCCTCAAATCTACAAACAAGATCATTAAAAACAACAACAACAACAATCAACAACAAAAACTTATCCCTAAGAAGCTGGGTTTGTGTACACTTACATGCTTTCACACTCTATGTGTTTTTAAATTAAAAAAAAAAAAAGCAAAAGACTATGCCAAACATTTGAAAGAACAAAAATTTAGGAAAAGGTGAAAAACCGATGTGTTATGAGTCCGCTTCTTGTAGTCTCTGACTATAGCTGAGGCTTCCGACTCATCCGGCTCTGTGTTTTCAACCTAGTCCTTGTGCGCATGTACCAAGCAGTGTTCAAATATTTAAGGTCCACTAGAACTTGGATGGCCCACTCAACTCCACTCCCTATCTCCCTCTCCATCACCCTCTCCTAACCCTGGCCTTTCTCAACAGCCCTTCCGCCAAAGCCTTTATCTTCTGTGAACAAACTGGAGTCTAGCAAAGCTTTTCATTCATTCTGTTGTGATTTAAATTTTCAATCTTGGACTGGTGAGATGCTCAGGGAGTAAGGACCTTTGCTGCCAGGCGTGGAGATCTGAGTTCCATCCCCCACGCAGAAGAAGAGAACACTCTTGCAAGTTGTCTTCTGGCATCCACATGCATTGTTGTGACACACAGGTGTGTACATATTCAAAAGTCAATGTAAGAAAGGTTAAAAAAAAGTTAAGTCACTGTTTCCTCAATAAATAAAAAAAAATAAAATAAAAAAATTCAACCTCTCATCCCTAAGTTCTTTCTTCTCTTTTAGACCTGAAATTCGGGACAAATGCCTTCTGCCCTTGCTTGCCTTGTATATTCAAGAAGCATGGGCCTTATGAGGGGTGCTTTCCATCATTGCTTTCTTGCTGTTCTAAAGCCTGCCTCCACCAAACTGCACCAGAACACCCTTCTCCAGCCCTCATTGCTCACTTTTGTTCCCTGAGGCTCAGCTGCCTCCCTATCTCCAGGAAGCAAAGCAACGGGACAAATCACACCTCCCCAATGACCTTGGCCTCTTGGACTGCTGACTTCATTTCTATCAATGGCCAACCATGTCCCTTACCCCAACTCCAGTGGACTGAACTTATTCCTATCCTAAGGATTCGGGAGCCCACCTCTACCTTGCCAACTGTTCATCCCTGTTTTTGCCTGGCTCTTTGCAGCTCACTTTCCCTCATGGGTATTCCAGTAATTCTTTACCCTGTTTGGGTCTTCTGTCTTTTCCTTATCTTTCACCTGCCTCAGGTCTTCACTTTCTTCCCTTTCCCAACTTAAATTCCATGAGCAGTGACACCCTCAGTGTCCTTGCCTTTATCTGCATCATCACACAATTCCATCCAGAGCACAGCCACCTCTCTGGTTAAGCTGCGCTCTGCCTACGCCATGCATGCTCCCACTTTCCTGCCATTCACTGAAAATGCATAGCTTAAGCAGGACTTAGCTCAGTGGTTCTAAACTTGTGAGCTGTGACCCCTTTGGGGGTGGGATTAAACAATCCTTTCACAGGGATCATATGTTTACATTACAATTCATTCACTCTTTTTTTTTTTTTTTTTTTTTTTTCGAGACAGGGTTTCTCTGTGTAGCTTCGCGCCTTTCCTGGAACTCCAGGCTAGCCTGGAACTCACAGAGATCCACCTGCCTCTGCCTCCCGAGTGCTGGGATTAAAGGCATGTGCCACCACTGCCCAGCTACATTATAATTCATCACAGCAGCAATCTTAGTTATGAAGTAGCAATGAAATAATTTCATGGTTGGGGATCACCACAACGTGAGGAACTGTATTAAGGGGTCCCAGCACTAGGAAGGTTGAGAAACACCGCCTTAGCTTCTCCCCAGCATTCACCACCGGAATACTTACCCTTCCCTACCTCATTTACTCCCTCACTCTTCAGACTCCTGCCCTGCATCTTCCTCTCCATTAACCCTCAATTCCTCTCCCTCTCACTCTGGGATGGTGGTCTTGCATCCAATTTCTCTGACAAAACAGAAGTGATGGGAAGGAAATGTCTATATTGTCCCACCACCACACCACCCTGCCCTCCTTCCTCCGCTAGACAAATGAATAAGCCTTGTAGCTGGAGTCAGCTTGACCTCTTCTTTAAGCATCCCATCACCTCCTGGACATCACTTAATCAATTCCCTTCCTCTCCTACATCGTATTTTTTTTTCTTCTGAATCATTTCCACATCTTCAATAAAGTTCAAGAGTTTATTTTCAAGTCTCCACTCCCCTCCCTCCTTCCCAGGCTTTCGAAGAGACAATGTAGTGTCTTCATCTATAATTGATGTTTTCCCCTGAGCTTTCAGCGGCAGGGCAGCAAGATGAAGCAGCTAGAGCACTGCAAGGTGCAGCTTGGGCAAATGAACAGAAGGTCCGGTAAGTGTTGTTTTCTTGGGTTGCCTTTGAGTATCCAGGCGTTGCGGGGTAGGACAGGTGGCTAAAGGTCTTTGTGTAGTTAGAAGACAAGGGTACCTAACTTATTCTTGGTGGCATGGACTGGCACTTGCTAGACTGTATTTCCATGTCCCCTTCTCCCTTGTCATGAATTGTCTCTGGCCTTTCCTGGACTCAGAACACTTGGGCTGCATGGACTGCCAGTCTCTGAGTCTCTCATTTCTTCCACTCTGCTCTGCAGCTTGGAAGGCTAGCCCTGCTTCTGCTGAACTCAAGACAGTCAGGGATTTTATTCCTCCTGGGCATATTTTTTATTTTCTTTAGAGAGTCTTGCTATGTTGCCCAGTGTGGCATTTAACTCCTAGGCTGAGATGATCCTCCTGCCTCAGCCTCTCAAGTAGATGGGATTAGAATTTTCCTTTTTCTTTCCAATGAGTTTATACCAGAGTCAGCTTTTATTTTTTATGTAAAGCATAGAAGACATGTAAGGAATCGTACAAGGTGAATTCATTAGGACAAAGCTTCTAAACTTTTCTTTTGAGGCAGGGTCTCACTACTTAGCCCTGGCTGGTCTGGATCTCACAGACCCACTTGCATCTGCCTCCTGAGCACTGGGGTAAAGCTTCTAATGTCATTCTTGAGTCTACTGGACTCTTACTTGAATAATTAGTCTGTGTCCCCTCAGGCTGAAGCTCAGATACTATGGGGAAAACTGTTGGAAGTCCCTCGGAGGGAGGAGATATTTCACTTTCTTACACAGGCAACAAATGATGAACTGTGTATGAACACAAAAACATATCTCAAAAAAGAATGATACAACTTTTATTTTCCATGGATTTTACAGATACTTTTGCTACATATTTATGTATTCTTATGAGATTATATTTTCCACTTGTATGAAGCTCAACCTTATACAATTTTCAGGTGATATGTTTGGTAGTGTGTTCTAGTCTTTAAAAAGTTGAGTTTTTGGAATGTATAGTGTGTGAGGTAAAATCAAGATTACATTAAAAACTGTTCTCTCCCCTGCACCAGCTTTGCAGCGAGGCTCAAATGGCGAGGACACCATTAAATGACATTTACTATCAAAAATAGGAGTTCATTTGAATTACTATGAAAAACATAAGCCACTGTGTGGCACATTTTACCATTTCAGACAGTCAACTATATAGAAATCTCTGGGCTCTTACACTCAAGACTCATTTGTACTGCCAAATGTGGCACTTTGAAGAAGTTTCTAGAAAACAATCGTAATCGCAGTTGTTTGGGGGACAAGTCATCACCCTATTCATAAGAGATTAAATAAAATGTAAACATATAGTATATTATAATGACAGAGTTTTCTTACCACTTGGAGAGGCCAAGTTTATCCATTTCTTTTTTTGAACAAAGGTTAATGTTTTTTCTACAGCGCAGATCATTTGACATAAAACAATTACAATACATGCCCATTCTATTACAAGGGAAATTCTTCAGAGATCTTCAAAGCACAAAACATACATTTCTTTTTGACAGACAGAAGTGCTTAATAATCATTAAAATGCAAACCTCAGCAACTAAAAATTAGTGATTCTCTATTCTAAAATTCAAATAATAAATTAAAGAAGCTAGTTACAGGTTTCTACAGATAACAGATGCGATAAAACAAAAATTTCATATAAATTCACTGCAGACTGTATTATTACTGGCAGTCATTGACATCGAGGCGAGATGTACAATGTGATACAACAAAATTCAATCTGATCATCCAACAACTCACAAATGCAAGCTCACAAGACATTAATGAACTATGCAATTTGCAAAGTGCTCTAATGCAACGGTACCCACATGCAATCAACAATTTGGAACAGTATCCAAAACAGACATTATACATTAAACATTAGTTTCTCAAGAAAGCAGCTTGAAGTTTACTGGTGCAAATTAATTTTGTCTTCAGATTTGGTACCCCAAACAAAAAGGTTGAGTTTGATTAGAAATTCTGATGGCAACGGCAGTAGTTATAGGAGATGCTGCAAAAACCATTGGGAGTCCTTCAAAGTCAGCCTCCACCAGGTGATGAGTGTGGACACGTGTCTCCTTACCTGACAGTCTGCACACAGCCCTTATGGACATGTATGCACTTATACACATACACAGTTTAAAGGCCCAGAAAACAGTAAGTTACTATTTAAAAGTTCTCTGTTCTTAAATCCCA